AAAAGTTTTGCTACTGTGTCTCATAACTGCTTATAAATAAAAAAATCAGTGTGTAGTGAAAACTGTGGATGAAACAGGAAATGTCATGTCAGTTTGGCAGTATTTAAAATATTTAAAACAAAAAACTAATCAATAATTATTGATATTGATGTTTTTCAGTCATTTTGTCCTGCTCTACTTCTCCTAATCCCACCATGTGGTCACTTGTGTTCTGCCTTTTAGATTAAAGATTAGTTTTAATTACTACTTTATGCTTTTTAGAATAATTGTGATGTAGATATCAAAGCCTTGTTTTGTATTTATTCTTTGTATTATATTTTTATGTATTTGGCCAAATTTGTGTAGTTAAGTACTGTTGACCTTGTAGGTATAACCTTTGTTTAGCAAGACAAATTGCTCATTTTCCAGGGACAATAGATGAAAAATAACCGTTTGGCTATTTTTCGCCAATTGTGGCTTTGACACCTCAATTAGAGAAAAAGCGATAATTATTGCACTTTTATAAAAATGTTGATTAATGTGCATTAATCAACCCTACCAAATAAATCAGTACTTTTGAGGTTTTATCAATTTCATCAATATCAGATTAAATCGCGGTTTGTGTAGCCAACAACTGGATAGAAATATTTTCTTTTTTTGCGATATTTAAAAACTTTCATAATTGTTAGTGACGGAGTTTATTTAGCGTTTTCTTGAATTTATCAGTTAAAGTTTTTCTGTGGAGCCTTTAGCGTCAATCAGATTTCCTTCCTGATTCTCCAAACTGAGATTGTTCCCATTGCTTCCTATAGCAAGTAAGCTACTGACAAGCTACAGATATTCCACAGAACCCCGCTACCTAAAATCTTTCTATTTAAGACATTGGACAGACGACATTTTAAAACGCATCATTATGAAGTAAAAGTTATTGCTCCAAGTTGTTCCAAAAACATAAGACACGTTACGCATGTTATAATTACAAAATACGTAACATTTCTTCGCTGGGCGGCTGTAATTTACTGTAATACTTTAATATAAGGAAATGAGAAGAGAGACGCTTTTCCACTCAAGTCGTCTTCATATATTTTCTGTTTAAGTAGCTGCTCACACAGATTTGTTTGTTGTGCGGAAGCCTGAATGAAAAGCAGGGTTTTAGCTGGATATCCTGTAATTGCAGACGGTACACAGCAGACGATTGCACTAACAGAGAAGTACTGTTCTGAAATAATTGTAGTTGCTTTACCCATATTGCCGGTTGGAGGAGCAGAAATCACAGATTGAGCAGAAAGAAACCAGCGGCCACTGAAACACTGACTCTTCTTTGGGTATTTTACTTCTTTCTCCCTGTTTGGTTTGTGATAGTTGTGCATTATAAAAGCAGATTTTTGTTTAGTTTTGCTAATGTATATTCATAAAATTTAGTTGCAGGATGCTAAGCATACTTTTGTCCTGACAGTAACTGAGTTATGAGAGTGCAGATTACTCAGTCTTACTTAGAAAATTCACCACAGATAAATGTTGAGGTCCCAGAGCAGCTCTGCTTTTCTTTAGTTCATGTGCCAAATTTAATGGAGGATCTGGATTTAACTTTGTTAGCCTGACAGCACTGTGTAATGTATCCTTGTACTATATTGTTTTTCTTTGGCATTTGCATGTGAAGAGCATCGGTACAATAGACTCAGTAACGGTAAACAGACTTTAAACACAAACGTTTTCTTGATTTCCTCTGATTTAAGGTGAGCAGGACGCAAAGTTAATAGTCTGTCACTTAACAGGTACGTTTTAAATCATATCAGCACTGCGGCTTTAATTACATTTATATTTTTTACATTATGTGTATAAAACCTTGTAAAATTAGGTATTAAAGTTAAAATCAAACATTTTTTTTGTCACTGACACTTTTTTCACTTTTTAGGTTATTTAGGATTAGAAATGTTCAATGAAGTAAAGGGGAAAAGGGCCAACTTTCACCAAAGAATGCAGAGAAACAGTGAGAAGGAAAGAAATTAGTTACAGCCTAAATGACCATAAAAGATTCCCTCAACTGGGACATTAAGTTGAATTTTACAGCCATCATATTAATGTAGAAAAACTGAAGATCAGCCAGATTGAATGGATTTGTTGAATATTGCTGTAGAAATGTCAGCAGTTATAAGTCACTTGCTCATTTCTTAAATTCCTCAGAATTTAATGAATGCAGATGAAACCAATTAAGTTTGATTTAATTTTAGATTTTCATCTATAAAAGATTGCAGACGGGAAGCAGAAATTCATTCTTGTTTGCCTCCGGTTTCGGCAGTAAGACAAACTGAAGTGAGAAAAAATAAAACAGTTTGACGTCACTACCCTTATAAAACAATAATTTAAAACAAACAATTTAATTTCTAGTTATTGAAGACAGTATACGAGTCTACAGTGACTGTTTGCACTGCAAAAACACAAAATCTTACAAAGTATTTTTGGTCTAGTTTCTAGTGCTAATATCTTTTTCAATCAAAAATATGGAACCAATACTTTTTTTAATCAATACTGAAGAATTACTGACTTAAAACAAGCTTTTATATCTTTCTGAAAAGTTAGTTATGAGAGACAAATAAAACAAATTATTACATCTCTGTAAACAAAATTGTTCTTAAAAAAAGAGCTAATAGAGACCAAAAACACCAGACTGAAAAATGTTATTCAGTTTTTAGTAGAAAGAGAAAAATGATAAATCATGCAAATGGAAATTATTGATCTTGTTTTAATTATCAATTGTTTTAATTTATCAATAAGGTTTGCATTAACCAGTTATCTGAAAAATCCAGTAGCCTAAAGTCTTTCACATTTCAAACTAAAATTCACAAGAAAATGTGTTAATTTATCATTTTAATGTAAACCTGAGACATCTAAACTTAGCAAAAATAAATGGTAGAAATAAATCAGTAACCTGGTTCTCCTTTAGTATTGAAATGCTGAGATAAAATAACCAAAAAAAACTTTTAATCTTTATTATATTTCTGTTTTGGTTTTGGGTTTTTTTGTGAGGGGAAAGATGCATTTTGTTGGACGATAAATTGCCCTAGAAGTTATTGCGATAAACGATAACATTGTTTTGAGACGATTTTCAAGTAATGTAATAATCCTGGATGATATTCTTAAAGATCAATAAAGCTTGTATTTTAATGAACATTTAACACTGGAACTGGAAGACATTTTAAATATCCAAAATAATTAAACAGAAACAACAAATAAAATTAATTATTAAGTCTCGGTAAACAAAATTGTACTTCCATAAACTAACTAGTTGAGACCGAAGCACCAAACTGGAGACTTTTATCACCGAGTCTTTAAAGTCTTTCACATCTCAAACTAAAATTCATCCTAATACTTTATTTTTATTTTTATACATTTGCGTCGCCTTGATTCCCTTATCGCGTCTGCTTCGGCAGAGCCGGCCGTGACCTCGGTCCACCGCCGCTGCTCGTCTGGCGTTCATCTCCTCACAAGCATCCACTCGAAGGTCAGCGTCTTGATTAGTCTGCTGCCTCCTCCTGTTGTTGCACAAAGCCAGTGACTCGCACTTTGTCAACAGTCTGATCGTCCGAGTTAATGAGTGACGAAGCTTTTGGCCAACCGAGCGACCGGCCGGCGCTGAAGCTCCGCGCCGAATCCGCCCGGTGTTGGTTAATGACTAATTGCTGTGTTTACCAACGCCCAAAGCCGGTGGAAATGTTGGTTTATGTCTCTCTTCATTGGATTGGCTATTGTTTGCCAGAAACGGGTGTGGGAGGGTCTTGTTGAGACCTGTTGATGGTTTTTATCTTTTATTTTTTCTCCCTGTGACACACAGATGAAATTATATGGGAGGAAAAAAGTGTGTAGAATCAGTTTTCTGTGTGTGAACTATGTTTATACAAGGTTAAAATCAGAAATGCAGATTGAATTTTGCTCTCCAAGTTTTTCACTTTGCTGAGAAATCTGCAACAGGGACACTGCAAAAACATGAAATTTTACCAAATATTTCAGTAAAATTTCTAGTGCAGATATCTTATTACACATTAAATAAGAGAAAACTAACTTAAAAACAACTTTACAGCAAGTTTGTTTTAAGTTAATTCCTTATTATTGATGAAAAACAGGGAGATTTTTAAAGTATAACATGAAAAATTGTCTTATCACTGAAAAAAAATCTGCCGTTGAAACTTGTGCTTTTTAAAGAAATTATTAACTTAAAACAAACTTTTTTATCTTAACATTTAGAAGTTTGTTTTAAGATAGAAACTAGACCAAAAAAAAACAAAACACTTGGTTAGATTGTGTTTTTGCAGTGTGAATTATTTATTTAGAACAACCTATATCTTGCTCAAATGTACTTGTAAGCAGAGGTAGGTTGCAGCTAGTTACATTTACTTGAGTTTATTTATTTACTTTTACAATGCTTTTGCATTTCTGGCTACTTTTTACTTGAGTAGAAATATATTTTAGTAGTGCTACTTTTTCTTGAGTATAATTTTTGGTTTATTTCAAGTGTACAGTGAGATTTGCAGTAGAACGGGAGTAAAGATGCCTGTTAGTAGTTTGTGTTTTTGCAGTGCAGTCCTTATCATCTGGCCTCTCTATGCAGGCAGAATAGATTAAAAGCAAACGCAGACGCGCTGATGATGTCTGAGTGAGTCAGAGTCTCAATCAGGCTCTCAGTTTGGGGAAACCGAGGGAGAGGTTGAGCGCTTGCTGGAGTTTTTGTGGTTTGCAGAGTGTCTGGCAGGGGGGTGGGACCTTCAACACTGCTGAGCTACTTCTGAGTTTCAGATCCCTCCCCCTCCTCCTCCGAGCAGCACTCACTTTTGGCTCAGTTTCTCTTAAAGGGCCAGTCGCCCTGCGGCGCGGCGTCTCCTCGGCCTTGCCGTCTCATTATCTCTCTTGTCTCCGCACATAAAGCTTGATGTTGACCTCCGGGCTGAGGACGCAGACAGATAGCAGCGGCTCTAAAGGTTGCTATCTGCCTCATCTGATGACTTTCCTCTCCTGTTGTCCTCCAGGTGTGTGTGTGGTCAGTGAGGCGCCCTGCAGAGCAACATGGCAGCATGTCAGTTGAGCGTCTAGGCGACTTTAGGTGAGTGAGAAAACTTCAACTCTCCTCCTCCTTCTTTCCCAAGGTTGAATTGCCTGATTTCTTCCTTTATTCTCTTTAGGATGCAAACAATCGATTAATGGTTTATTAGATTAAAATTAGTTCCGGTCGATTAACTAATTACGTCCGCTTGAGACCGACTTTCAGTGTTGTAGTTTGGCCGCCATCCAGCAGAGGGCGCCGCTGGTCATCCTTAAGCGGAGCCGTTGAAACAGAATCAAATATGGCGCCGGGAACTTTCCGCAACGGGGATGATGAATTGTCCAAACAGAGTCCGGTTTGGGATGGAAAATGCACTCGACCAACTCTTTAAGTTATCAGCTTTAATAGCGCTTCATTCAGCCGAGCTGCACGACGGAGTAACGGCAACTTTATCACCTAAAAGTTTCTGATGTGCTACGAAGGTGAGGTTGACCGAAAAGCGGCAATATAAACAATTAAGATAAAAAGCCCTTTGTTATGGGAAGAGGTTTTGCCCTCTTGATACAAGGTAAAAACTCTTTTTGACAAAAATGGCAGCTTATTAATTAGTCCAACAGTAAGATCATTCAACTTTAGACTAATTCATTAATCGATAACCAGCATCCCAACATCTTTTAAATCGAGGTTATTTGTATAGCATGTATAGTTTAAAGCGCTTTAAAGCCTAAAACGTCATAAAGCCATCAGTTATGGAAGGAGCACAGAACATTACATTTTGTGTTTATGTTCTAGTGTGGCCTGTGAGCGATGTGAGCTCCACTAGGGGCGCTGCAGCTCTCCTCACCAAAACGTCCACCTCTATTCGGCCGTTCAGATGCACACCGACAACAAAGCGGCCAACCATGGCAAGCAAGTCAGCAGCGACGGCCGCTCCCAGATCCCAGGCGTGAACCACCAGCAGCAGCAGCAGCAGCAGGGAGGCGTACCCGGCATCCATGGAGCCAAATCCGGACAGGTTTCCCTCGGCAACCCGGGCCAGAAGGCGGTGGCGGCGGGGCAATCGGTGAGCGGAGGGATGCTGAAAACCAAATCGAAGCGGGAGCGGAGCGTGTCCATCGACTCTGGCGAATCCAGGAGCGGCGCTCCGGCTCCTGCGCTGGAACCAGATGCCAAAGGAGGTGAGCTGTCTCACAGGGGAGAAACAAACAAAAACTTGGAGTTTTATTGATTTACCAAATTTTTAGTTTTTGAAGATTTTCATTTTTGGAAAAACCACTCCTTGGGTTTCCATAGTTCAGTGTGACATCAACGCCCCCGTGGCAGCCATCTTGTTTGACAGCTTTTGTTTATTTGGACTTTGAATAAGCAATTTCCCATTGGATGTCAATAAAGTATATCCTATTCTATATATTCTATTTGTGGCATCAACTAGCTCACTCACTCTTTGGTTACCTAGCAACTCACTCACTCTTTGGTTACCTAGCAGCTCACTCACTCTTTGGTTACCTAGTAACTCACTCATTCTTTGGTTACCTAGCAACAACCTGCTGATCAACTGGCGCAGCAGCAGTTTAAGGTTTCGCCACCATGCCTCATAACTGCTTGAAAATAAACGACAAAAGCTGGGATAAAACAGGAAAGGTCACATTACCAGTTTATTATTTCAGGTATTTAAAACAAAAAAACTAACCAATAATTATTGATGTGATATGAAACTCTTATATTGTGATATGTTTGTTTCATTCAAGTTATCTAGCTCTAAAGTAAAGTTGTAATATTAGAACTTGAAAAAATAAATTTAAATGAGGAATTTTGAGCATCTTGTGAAGTTATCCAGAATATAAATACTTAATCTTTTACCACATTAGTATGAAATTATTATGAGTAGCAGGACCTTAAACGATTGAGCAATGACTGAATCTATTTCAAAGAAGTAACCAGATGAAATGAGAGAGATCCTGATTAAAGCATTTTCTCAATTTTAAGATGCTTTTTGCATTTTTATTCTGCCATTGTTGTGATTTTGATCTCATAATTAAATGCTGCCGTACAACTAGCAGAAGGAATAATTGAAATAAAAGCCACTTTCTGAAAATATCTTCCATCATTTGTAGAGAATTGATTTAATATCGGATCTGGTGTGAAAAAATCAGATTTATGTTTTTTGCCATATCGCCCTGCCCTGTTCAGGTCTAAATTTACACTTCCTTTAACTTCCTATCAGCAACATCTTTACCCGAAATACCAGATTACGTGCATTCGCCTCCTCCACAGCAGGAAGTGAACGTAAGGACCGAGAGGACGGATGAATTTGTTTTCTCTCTCGCTGAAATGCCCTGACCTTTCGCCGAAGCGTCAGAATTTCCCCTTCTTAACTCTTTATGGTGTGTTTCACATCCAAGACATTCAACTGGTTTCTGTTTGCTTGTAGGAAAATAAAATAAGTGTCTGATTTGCATTTGTTGTTGTATTCAGGCTTGTGTTTTGAGAGTTTTGGCTGCAGATCACATTAGTGTGTTTTAGTGAAGCTCCTCTTTGCTTCTTGTGCAACACACACTCGCGCTTTCATCGCTACAGAGGACATCTGTTCGCATCGGTTTCCTCGACGCCTGCGCTAATCATTGCCTTTATAATAACATCATGCTAATTTGTGGTGACTTGCTTTCTTTGTCTCCAAATAGAAGAGGGGAGTGAGTCCTCTCAAACTGTGACTGTAAAAACTGATTTGAGTGCTGTATGCAAATTGTGATATGCACATTCTGAGAAAACAAAAAACCCACTCGAAGAGGTGTGGCCTCGGTGCTCAAAGGATGATAAATGAAAATAAAAGCTCCCAATGACACGTACACACAGCTACAGCTATTCTCCTAAGATTTACCTTAAACCGGTCGAGCTTCTGGCCTAAAGCTTCTCTGTCTGCTGCTTGCAAAAACACAAAAGGTCATAATGTTTGTCTGACGGTGTAAAAATCCTCCTGCTGCTGTCGTCTGTTCTGCATTGTATAAACAACTTCCTCCTTTACTGTACTTTTGCACGCTGTGGTTGCTCAGACTCGCCCCGCTCGTGTTTGGAAAGCTAGCCGCACTCGGTAACACTGTACTCAAGTCTGTGAACTTCTTCAAATGTTGTCACAAACGTCAACGCTTCTCAAGTGGATTTCATGTGGTAGACCAACACAAAGTGGAGAGAAAAAGATGGAAGTTTTAAAAATCAAGGTCTGAAAAGTGTGGTGGGCTCATGTATTCAACCCAATCCTCCTACACAAAAATTGACTAAATTTAATCTCTGTATAAATGCAGCTGTTCTATGAAACAGACAATATAAGATTAAACCACAACTGAAAACCAACCAAACAGGGGCAGATGAGACCCATGGTGACACAGACAGATTATTGGAACAACTAATTTAGTAATCGATTAATCGCTATACAGACCCAAAAAAGGCCATTTGCTGAAACGACAAAATCAAACCAAAACTGCATTATAGCAGGGATGAAACGATTAACCATGATTATTAAAGTAATCGTCAACTAATGTTATCAAATAATTGCTAACTGGAGTGTACAGACTCGAAAAGGACGATTTGCTGAAAGAACAAAACATTCAGAGCTCTAATGAAGTCAAAACTGCAGGGCTGAAAGTTAATCATGATTATTAATCGTCAACTAATTTTATCGATTAATTAACTGGAGTTTACAAATTCAAAAAAGACCATTTGCTGAAAGAACAATAAGCCAAAACTACGTACATTACAGCATGGCTGAAACGATTAATCGTGATTAATTGATTATTAAAGTAATGGTTAACTTGTTCAATAATTGATTAATTGCTAACTGGAGTAAACCCTACAGTGCATTAAGCAGGAAGGGATGAGTTCTCCCCATGTTTATGTTGGAAGTATATTTTTAGCTGCATCTGCATTATTTGCTACAAATGATCAAGTATCCAACAAAGAAATGCAGTATTCGCATTTTAGGAGGACTGAAGCGATTAATCGTGATTAATCGATTATTGGGACAATTGTCAACTAATTAAGTAATTGATTAATTGTTAACTGCAGTATAAAAACCAAAAATAAAACGACTATTTGATGAAAGAACAACACATTAAGAGTAGTAATTAAGCCAAAACTGTACAAAAACATATACATTTTGCATTTAAGATGAAAACCCTTCTTTGTCTCTAAATGTGTTCTACCCTGAATTCCTCATTTTTAACTTTTAAAAAGGCCATTTTTAAAAAAAATCTCATACTAAGCATGTCTTGCTGTCTGTTAATCTATAAAATAATCAGTTATTTTTTTTCTAGTTGCTGATGCATATTTTGCTCAAAAAATCATTAAGAAATGTAAAAAAAAATCATTTTAGACAATAAAATTTGTATTTTCTTCAAAAAACTATTATTTGCATTTTTAATTATTTTTCTAATATTGTATAATGCGGCTTACATGGTTAAATGTAAAGTGGAGACTGTGGCAACATTTATTAATGCAATTAATCGATTAATCATCTGAATAATTGTTAGTTGCAGCCCTGTATTTTAGGCAATAGAATGTTTTCTTCTCCAAAACAATGAATCAAATTATGCTTATTTGCATTTTTTTATGTATTTCTAATATTACCTAAAACAATTCTGATTGGTTAAAAGACAAATCGGCAGAATGTGCCCATTTTTCATCCGATTAATTGATCATATTGATTATTTGAATAATCGTTAGCTGTAGCTACAATGGTGACTGGTGGCCTAAATGTAACTCTTTGGGCTTCATTGAAGTTCTTGATGGTTCCGTAGGCCGGGTGAGGTTCACCGTCCAGCTGGTCAATGACCCCAAACACGCAGCCACAGCTACAGTGTGACGGTATAGATAAGAGTTACACAATATAATAAATCGCAATACTCATTAAAAGCTCAATGTGTGAGAAATCTCAGCCAGAAAGGAAGCGTAGGTGAAATTTATGGTTGGTTGTACGCTGGAAAAGAGAAGTATATGGAAGATGTAGGTTAATCAAAGGATATTTAGTAATGTCACAATTTCCTGAGATTCTGTGTTAGTGGCTTAGTCAAAGTCAAAACCTAGATCCAGCAGATAATCAGTGCTGGATCTAGGTCCTCAAACTGAGAAGTTTGATGAATCTTTCTGGTCAGTCTGACTGAGCTTCAGCTGTTTTGCAGAGAGAAATGTGCAAAGTTGGTAGAGAAATACTCCGAGGTTTGAAGCTGTGACTGCAGAGAAATCTATGCACTGATAAATTTAACATAAATTTATTTAAGTTTGAGTGATTCACTAATACCTGGATGCAAAAACAATCTTGTCTCCCTCTGGAAATGACTGAAAATCCACCACTGCTCCCTTTTTCTCTGCTGGGTAACAATAATCATCCTACTGCTGCTAAATTAACAACTTTTCAGACTAAGAAATCTGTATCGACAGGTCAGGCTTTTTACAAATTGGTGATTGGCCAGAAAACTGCCACCGGTACACCATTGTTTCTGTGAAGTCCTGACTGAGGGGCCTGAATATGCACACCACACTTTTCAGATTTTGAACTGTTGGTGGTTTTTCTTCCATTTCATTCACCAGTACGGATCACTTTGTGCTCGTCTGACTCAGATTCCCAAATAAAGTGAACATTTGTTTTACTTTAGCAAATGTTTCAGATTACCATTTGCATTGGTCTTATTATTTAGCATTAAAAATTAGTTTTTAGTAATTCTTAGACATTACATTTAGTAATTTAGACATTGTTTTGAATGAAGCAAGTTCTTTGTGAATTTTTAAAAATATTCTTGAGGATTTTCTTAGTTTTCTTGGTATTTTCTGCTGTTTTTTAGTCACATTTTCTAGCAATCAAATGTCAAGTGTTAGAAATGGTTTTATTTTCTTATTGAAAATAAAGCAAGAATAGTTTTTACTGCCTTTTGTTCATGAAATGCATCAAAGCTGAAACCTCCCACTTTTTTTCAGTCAGTAAACGCATCAGCACACACCATGCTCTTTGTTTTAACTCTAATAAACGTTGGAGACATACTGTGATGCAGGCATGGACATTTTTATGGTCCATGTTTCTTCTAGAAAATTATATTTTGATATTAAATTTGGTATCAGAAGATTTTAGTTAATTTTTGACGTTTTTGTACCAGTCGGATCAGACTGGCTTGGCTGACATTATGTGTTTATTTCCATCTTGTTTGTGTTTTAGGAGCCTGAGGGGATTGGTCATTTGATTTTTGTTTGGTCATGTGACAGATTTAGTGATGCAGCAACTGAAGTCAAAAGGATGAAGAATGATGTATGTGATACTGGGAAACATCTGTTATTGGCCAAAACGGCCATACTAATATCGGCTATCGGTATCGACCCTAATTGTCAAATTGGTTCATTTTTGGTTTCTGCCATTAACTTTTGAGTTAAAGCTAAATTTACTCAGAAGTTTTCATGTTTTGGAAAGAAAAATCTCACTCAATCTGAATTGGAGTACTAAAATAAATCAGATTAAAGAATCTCTGGTCTTTCTAGCCTGACGCTTCAGTTAAGATTAAAGAAAATAAATGAAAACTCAAGTGAAATCATAAGAAAAAACTTTCTGAAAGTCTAAAAAACTATCAGTAAGCTCTCTTTAAACATTTTGCACTGTCCTGCATGCGATGTAAATGTCTAATGTGCATTTCAATGCGCTCCAGGCAGCTTGTATTTCCCTGCTGCGCCACCGTTCGGTCAGGCAGCCCAAACAAAGTCGGGGGAAATCCCCAGCTTTAGAAATGACACATTATACTTCCACCATGTGGCCTCCGTCAGTTTGATGTCTGGAATAACTCTCCTCCAAGGTGTTTCTGCTCTGTCTGCAAGACAACTCGACTCACTCTGCTGCAGTTCGTTTCAGCCTTTTATTCTTAATAAAAACGGGAAGGAAATTAGAGGAACAGTCGGAGAAGAAATGTGGTCGAAAACAATTTAACAACCGATAATTATTTCCATCTTGTTGCCGTTTGTTTCTGGAGGAGTGAAGCCGGCTGGTTGGGTGGCATTTGTTTGGTCATGTGACTTTGATGGAGCAAAGGATTGTGGGCAGTTTAACCGAAGCAGTCAGTGGTTGGTCCTTTTTCTGTTCCGAAATGGCAGAAAAATATAAAATAGTTTTATTCTTTTTGTGTAAAATTTACTGTGCAACGTTTTTGCTGGGTTTGCGGCAGTTGGGCTTTTTAAATGTCGTTGATCAGCCAGAAAACTGCTATCAGTTCACCACTACTGTCTTTTTTAATAATGGCTGTTATTAAACTGCAGAGGAATAGGTTGGTGTAATATTGACACAAACAAGATATACAGCTCTGGGAAAAATTCACATCATTTAAAATGATCAGTTTCTCTGATTTAACTGTTTGAGCAAAATGAACTTTGTTCTTTTATTCTATGAACTACCGACATGTCCCTGAAATTTCAAACAAAAATGTAGGATTTATTTGCAAAAAAATAAGAAATGGTCAAAATAAAAAGATGCAGCGCTTTCAGACCTCAAATAATGCAAAGAAAACAAGTTCATATTCATTTAGAAACAACAGTACTGATGTTTTAACTCAGAAATCAGTATTTGGTGGAAGAACCAGGAGGTTTTCAACGGGTTCACTGCAGTGGGCTCATTTTTCCAGAACCAGCCTTCTTCATCAGCTTGTTGAGCCTTTTTAAGACCCGGACTCGGATGCTGCTGCTCCACAGTTAATGGCAGATTTGCAGAACATCTGAATAACATCGGCTTCCTCATGAAGCACATCCTGCTTTTTTATCTTTTTATTTTTCCTCTTCTCCAGTCCAGGCTGTTGTTTAGGCGAACTTCACTGTATCACACTGGACGTCCATAATGCAACATAATGGACGTCGTTCCTGTTTTAGTGACTTTTAAAAACGACTGTTTTGTGTGGAAAAATCTGTTTTGGAATTAGTGGTCTGCTTTGAAAAGCAATAGAAAGCCTTATGGTGATTTATAATTAAAAGTTTGAAGATTTTTAATGTTCTCTCTCTAAAATGAGCGGTTGCAGTTTTCTGGCCGTTTTTCTTCCTCCTCCTTTTCCAGTGGGTTTAATCCTTTTCTGTAAAACTAAAATCTGATTTTAATTTATTAAATTTGTCTAAATAAAGCAGGTGTTTTGGAAGAAAGCAACCCAAATCCTGTTCTTACAACTAGGGCTGTCGCAATAAATCAATTGATTGCATGATAACTTAAAAGAAACTCAATAATTTTCATTTGCTTTGTTTTTCTCTTTTCTCTTTCAAAAACTGAATGATAAAAGTTTTCAGTTTGGTGTTTTGGTCTCAACTATCCCTTTTTTAAAGATAATTTTGTTTACAGAGGCTCTATGATTCATTTTATTTGTTGTTTGTTTTGTTTATTTATTTTTAATATTTCAAATGTCTTCCAGCTCCAGTATTTAAATGTTCATAGGAATTTAAAGGTTATTGATCCTTGAGATTGTGTTCTTGCGTTACCACCATTATATTTCTTGGAAAATGATCTCAAAACAACAACATTATCAATTATTGCAATAAATTTATCATGACAAACTTACTTACAACTCAAAAGAAACGTAAAAACTCGGCTGTTCTTGTTTGATGCACTAAACTTTCAAAACCCTTTTTAAGTTTTGGATCTGGATGACTGAAATCCATTCAGATGAATTTATTTGCTTGTTTTTTGTTGTTGTTATTTTGGCCCACACAGTGCTGATGTTGATGTGTTTTCTCATCCAGAGGGTGTGATGCGCAGCAAGCGGCGCTGCGTTCTGACCAAGAAGCAGCCTTACAGCGGAGATGAATGGTGTTCTGGTCCAGACACGGATGACGAAGACAAGCCGCACGCCCAACGTAAGTCTGTAAAATCCTCACCAACGCAGCTGTAACCATGGCGATATCAATGAATCTTAATCTAATTACAGAAATCTCTGTTTTTATATATAGAATCCATATAAGCTTGGGGAAAAAAAAAGTGGTTTTAGCTCCATCTAATGTTGAACTGTTGCAATTAAGTGGATGCTTGTTTCAGCCAGAGAGAAGCTGAGCTCCGGTTCTGTTGGTTTGTCAGGTCCGATCCCGGGACATGCGGACCGCCTTCCTGCTGGAAACATGGCGGCTGAATCCGGGGCGGCCGTCATCGGATCGGGACCGGCGCTGAAGGCGGAGCTGCCGCAGCCTTCACAGCAGGTGGTCTACGTTTTCACCACCTGCCTGGCCAACAGGTGAGACGCACGTTCAAGATTTAAAAAGTTCCTACAGGTGATTAAAATATTTTAAAATGCTTGAATTTTAGGAAAGTTCTTAATAAAGTTATAATTTAATGTTTGATTAAAAACCTAGATTATTTATTTACAGTTCAAATCAGATATTTTCACACACCTAGTAAAAACATAAAAACTTTTTTTTACTGTCTGAAATAAAATTAGACTTAAATGTTCTGTTTTTATGTTAGAATGACCAAAATTATTTTTATTTGCTAAATACCAGAAAAACATTTTTGTAATTTTGATTGCATTTTGTGTTTAAGCCTTTAATTTGAGCAGGAATGTCATTTATCTTAATGTGATTTTGTTGGAATATTTCATTAAAGTGAATATTTATTATTCCTAATGACTCAGTGATCATATATTTTATGCTAAACTGCGTTTTTGTAATTTTGTTTTGTTAAATTGGAGGCTTGTTATCACACCAGTTTGGTTTCTAAGGTGTATCAGAGACATTTTAAAACATAAAATATTCTTTTGTTTTAATTTTATCCTGCTGTAGAAACTATAACGCCACCAAAAAAAAATAGATTAATAACAGTAATAAATGATTATCTGTCTCCTTTAGTTTGTATTGTTTTTATCTCCAAAATGTGGTGCTGGAAAAGTTTGTAAACTTAACTTAAAAATGCCTAAAAGGTTTTGAATTTTACTGTGTATGTAAACAGCATTAATAAGTTAATTTTTTAAATTGTTTCTTCAACAGTGCTGCTGAGGCAGTGATGAAGGGACAAAGTGATTCAATCCTTCGCTTTCACCAGCAAAATGTTCCAAACTCCAAGTTGGAGCAGGTCAGAAACCGAAACTTAAAGTTTGTTTTTTATCAGAATGTAAATGTGCGACTGTGTAAAAGACGACAGCTGCAAAATGTGTGTGAGGAATGATTGGCATAGCTAACTTTATCACTTGTTTCTGTTCCTGTTTTATTTTAAAAATAAAACTTAAAAAAAAAAAAAAGAAATAAGGAAGGCTTTAATGTTTTGTTTTGCCAAATGTACCTTTACTCTGATTGTGGGGATATGTAAACACTGAATTTTAAATCTGATTTCAGCAGTCTGGTACCACTAAAGTTTCATCTCTTCCTCTGGAATACAATTAATCACTTTGATTCATTACCAAAGATTTCTGTCTAATTTTTAGTGCAAATATCGAATTACACTTGAAATAAGGCAAAACTAACTAACCAGTAACTTAAGATTTAGGTCAATAATCCCTTAATATTGATTTTAAAAAATAGTTTCACTGGTAGATTATTTTACTTATAACAATATATTTGTCCAATAATCTGCCAGTTGACCTAGTACTTTTTGATATATATTAGCGAATTATTTACTTAAAACAAGCTCTTATATTTTGTCAATGTAAAACTTATTATATTCCACATTTCCAATAGCTCAAGCTGCACAAAGTGCTTCTCAAGTTAAACGCAAAAAAGAATACTGGTAAATAAGATGCATAATAGTGGTACAGTAAAGTAAGAAAAAGGCAATAAAACGATAAGAACAGCTAAAGAGCTGTTGGATAAAGTACTTGCTAACTTTTAAGATATTTTCACTAGAAACTAAATTAAAAATACTCTGTATGATTTTGTGTATTTGCAGTGAGGTCTATGAAGTTAAAATATTTACCGTGTGTATTCCAGTTTGTTTTAATGTCGGTTTTCTTTGCTGCAGGGCTACCAACAAGGGAAGCTCCCTAACCTACCTGAGAAGGTAAACTCCAGCTGCTCTCCGCTAACCGGAACCCCCAAGTCCCAAAGCGGAACGCCGCGGCCAGCCTCCGCCGGAGTCGGAGGTCCGTCGTCGGCCGGACACTCTGACAGCGAGTCCGGTCAGGTCAGACCTGCCGGGGCTCCCGGCAGTAACAACGGCGCCCCCCAAAGGACAGGTGGAGGACTCAGAGAGTCGGGTAGCGGTGCTGAATCGGGTGCTGCCGCCTCTCCGTCTGGAGGCGCCAGCATCCTGTCCGCTCATCTGCAGGGTGGCGCGTTGCAGAGAGGCGGCAGCAGGAACATGGACTGTCTTTCCAAGGAGCAACTCGAACACAGAGAGCGCTCATTGCAGACTCTGAGAGACATAGAGCGGCTGCTTCTGCGCAGTGGAGAACCGGGAGGCCCACACTGCGGCGGTACGAACAACCCAACCAACTTGAATAATACAGACAGGAGTGGCGCTGAGGACGGTGAGATTGGTACGAACGCCTCTGGGAATTGTGCTAACGCTAGCATGTTGCCGAAAAAGTACGAAGAGCCTCTCCAGTCCATGATTTCCCAAACGCAGTCTCTCGGCGGGGCAGTGCTCGACAACCCGCATTTAGACTCTCACCACAACCTCCCGCCGCCATTGCATCACCAGATGCCCTCGCCTGGAGACAACATGGCGCCCTTGATGGGGCCAGAGGGGCTCACGCGGGAGCAGATGGCGTGGAGGAAGCTTAAGGAGGAGTACTACCAGGAAAAGAGGCGGCAGCAGGAGATTGAGCACCCTGGACCCCCGCAGCACTTTAGAATGATTCCTGAGGCTGGCATGCATGGGGCCCCGATGATGATTAGAGGGCCACCTCCTCCCTACCACAATAAACCTGGAGACCAGCAGTGGGCTTCTGGGAATTTGATGCGACGGGGAATTGGTGGGAATGGGAAAGTGTTTGAGATGCACCCGGAGGGGCCGCGGGGCCCTCGGTTCCTGGGTCCGATCCAGAGAGGGCAGCCAGGTGGAGGGGGTTTCCCCGGATCCGTAGAGGGCCTAGGACCTCAGAGGCCTGTCCGACCCGGGATGATCTGGCTGGAAGACGTTCCAAACAGCGGCGGTGGCGGTGGACCCTTCCATGGCTGCTACCCTGGCGGAGCTCCCCAACACTTCCAAGACGACGCTGAGCTGTTGGCGCGCGAAGAAATGTTCCGGATCATGGAGAAACGGCAGATGCAGGTGTCCAGGTTTGAGCTAGACCGATTGGCTAAACAGCAGCAGCAGGGGAACATGGGGTCAAGAATAATGGACGGGTTCGGGAGTGCAGATTTCCCCAACTTAGGAATGGGGCGAGGCCCGCCGTCTGGTCGGGTGGATCCAATGGATTTTCCTGGTTCAAGGGAGATCATGATGTCACCTGGAGCGTGTCATCCAATGAGAGACTTGGTAGATTCCCCTTTAGGGAGTAATATCCCAATGGGAATGAACCCTCAGATGAACCTTCAGCAGCAGCAGATGATGATGTCACAGAGGCTCAGAGGGGGGCCTTTACCGGACATGTTTGGACCTGGAGAAATCAGCGGAAGAGGCGGGAATAAGGGGATGATGCCTGGACCTGACGGGCCATTCCAGTTTCCCGGTCAAGGTCCCTTCCCTGAAGGACAGGTGGACGGGCCGTTTCTCCAACAACCTGGCCCTGAGATGTTCGGCCCTGACCAGCCTGGACCCAACCAGCTCGGAGCTACGTCTCGGCTCAGCCATTTGCCTCAAACCGAAGGCCTTAGAGGAGCAGATCTCGCTTCCAGAAACGCCCCTGAAATGTCAGTCAGCGTTAACTCCCTTGCCTCTCCATCAGTGCCTCCGCCTCACCAACTCAAATCGCCATCCCTCAATCAAGAGCCATCTCCTCTCTTGCCTTCTCCGTCCGCTCCAGGGCTGAAGTCGCCGCTGTCTAACACCGGACACCACCCCGGTTTCCCCCCGGCGTCTGGAGCGGGAACTCCTTGCTCTTCTTCCTTAAAGTCTCCTCAGTTAATGGCGTCCTCCAACCTCGGCTTGCACTCTCCGTCGGCTTCTCCGGGGCAGCTGAAGTCTCCAGCCATGGCTGTTGGTTCTCCTGGCTGGACTTCACCTAAGGTTGCTCTTCCAAGTCCCGGCGGCCCAACCAGTGGAAAGCCCCTCGGCAATGGAGGAAACGGCTCTACTGAAGCAGGTACACTTTAGTCAAGTTTATTTGCATAGTATATTTCAGCAACAAGGCAGTTCAAAGTGCTTTACACCATAAAAACATCATACAGTCAAGCAACGAACATTACATCTTGTCAAATGCCATCATCAAACAAATGCATATCAAATATGTTGACTACTGCTCCACTTACTGCTAATCAAAAGCAGCTCTAAACAGGTGCGTGTTTAGCCTTCATTTAAGAAGGAACTCAGTGTTTCAGCAGTTTTTGGTTTTCTGGGAGTTTGTTCCAGATTTGTGGTGCGTAGAAGCTGAATGCTGTTTCTCCATGTCTGGTTCTGGGGATGCAGAGCAAAGCAGAACCAGAAGATCTGAGTGATCTGGAAGATTGATACAACATCAGGTCTTTAATGTATTGTGGTGCTAAGCCATTCAGGGATTCATAAACCAACAAGAGTACCTATTATGCTACCTTGAACAGTTTAGGATAGGTTTATAGTCTATACAAAACATGTTCATTACATTTGTTTCACAAAATTTTATATTATGAGATTTTAGTATGGTCAGTTCTGCATATGTTGAGCACTTTTCAGATTGAGCTGTTTTAGGGCCTTTGGATTTAAAGGTTTGTCACTTTTAATTCAAATAAGCTGCTGCTGGCCATGCGCCCAAACTCACATGAAAATTGCTCCAAACAGTTGTTCAATTATCCAACTGTACATCTTCGAAAAGCAGAAGTAGGAAGTAGTTTCTGGACTGTAAGTCAACAACAAAGCCTTGTCTTTTCCAGCAGCCATTGTACAACGCATACAGCAGTAAAACCAGCTGACCAAACATTCTGGAACTCAGCTTTGGTTGCTAGGTGACGGGCGGAGCTCTGTTGGGGTTGCTAGGTAACGGGGCAGTGCCTGCTGATTCTTGATGTTACATTTCATAGGTTTTGAAACAGCTAATTTTCCAGACACCAAAATCCATTAAATTATTTTCTAAAAAAAAAAACGGCTGGGTGGGTTTTTTAAGCGCTTGAGCTGCTTTTAGAAACAGTAGGAACCCAAATGGAAGTACAAAAATGTGCAAAATGTGAATTTTGGATAAAAGCTCCCCTTTAAAGTCTATTCTCTGGGCTACAGGGAGTATGGATTTTAGAAATGGGGTGATGTGCTTCATCTTCCTGGTTTTAGTGAGAACACAAGCAGCAGCATTCTGGATCAGTTGAACTCTATTTTTTTATTTAGGTAGACTTGTGAAGACACTGTTGCAGTAATTAATGCTTCTAAAGTTAAACGCATGGATGAGTTTCTCTAGATCATCCTGGAAAGTTAGTCCTTTAATCCTGGAAATGTTCTTCAGGTGATAGAAGGCCGACTTTGTAACTGTCTTTGTGACTCTGAAGGTTCAGGCCTGAGTTCATCACTTCACTCAGATTTCAAGAGTCACTAGTTTCTTTTAGATGCAAATCCCAGCAGTTACTTTGCTACTAATAACCTTTTTTTGTGAATTTTGCAGGCCAGCCCCATCCTCCAAGAAGTTCCAGCTCAACGCCCCTTAGCCAACCAGCTTCTATGAATGCCGGTATGCCCTTCACTTCCTCCCCAGGTGCAGCGCCATCCCAGAATCCTTTGTCCCTCATCATGTCTCAGATGTCGAAGTACGCCGTCCCCAGTTCGACCCCGCTCTACCACGATGCAATCAAAACAATCGCCACTTCTGACGACGAGATGCTGTCAGATCGACCTCTTCTGTCTGGTGTCACTATTGGAGGTACGAAGATGCCACAAGAGAAACACAATGTACATTTACACATCAGCATTTAAGAAAAATCAAAACGATCAGTTGGATTAATCAAGATTAATCTGATCGATTATTGCAATGATCATCAACCAATTTAGTATTTGATCTATCTTTAACTGGATTAAATAAAATCATTTTTAATTTGGTCCAAAGAAATATTTAGGGCTGAAATGATTAAGCAATTAATCATGATTAACTGGATTAATAACCGATTAATTTGATAATTTGATAATTTGATCGTCAACCAATTTAGTAAGTGATTAATTAACTGGACTGAATTAAACCATACAGGAATGTTTATGGCTGAAATTAATCGAGATTGATTCGATTAATCAGTTGTCGCAATAATCAACAATTAATTTAGTAATCAACTAAGGCCATTACCTGAAAAAACAAAACTCTACAAAAATATGTACATTTCGCATGTTAGATTTTTTAAAAAAAAATGCACTCTGTTCACTGTTTGGAGTGAAATCAGTAAAGTTTGTTCTGTCCTCCATGTTTTCTCCTCTTCCTCTCCAGGAAACATGGCGAACGCCCAGATGTCACAGATGCTGAACTGTCAAGGCTCCATCGGACCCCAGAACGAGCCTCAGAGCCCGATGGGTCTGGTCAGCCAAGGCCAGCAGCATCTGTCCCATGATGCCCCTGGGCCTGAACTGGGCATGCCGGCCATGAGTTCGGTCATCATGGGAGGCGGCGCGCCTGACGGGATGGGCCCCAGCAGCGCGTCGCCGCTGTCGGGGGGTTTTCCTCGCATGCAGCCGCCCATGCACTCTCCGATCGGAGGAATGCCGCCAAACTTCCCCCAGCCCAGCGACGACATCCTGCCGCATCAGCAGCTGCAGATGCTCAGTAAAGGCCACCATCAGCAGCGCGCGCCGCACCCGCCCGACTCCTTCCCGCCGCTGCCTCTGGGCGACGGCCCGGATCTGAGCGAGGTGATTCGGCCGACGCAGACGGGGATCCCAGAGTTCGATCTGTCGCGCATCATTCCGTCCGACAAGCCTAGCAGCACGCTGCAATACTTCCCCAAAAGCGAGCCTCATCAGAACCCGCACCAGCAGCATACTCCACAGCAGCTGCTCAAGCAGCTTTCCCAACATGGCGGAGGCGGTGGCGGCGGTGTGTCGTGCAACCCGCATCTAGCCAGCCTGCAGAGCATGGCGGAGCAGCAGCTGCCTCCCCACCCTTCGCACGGAGGGATCCGACAGGGTATGGGCGGGTCGAGGGCGGTGATGTCCGGCGGCGGCGCCATGTGTCCGCCGGGACACATGATGGGAAGGACAGGAATGATGCCGCCGCAGCAGCAGCCGGCTATGATGGCCAACAATCTCCTCCACCATCCGTCGGGGCCATACCCCGGCATGATGCCGCCGCAGCAGCACCCGCACAGCTTGATGGCGCAGCAGAACATTATGATGATGCAGGCGAAACAGAGGAGCATGTCGATCCCGGGGGAGCCGTTTGGACACCAGCGGCCCATGGTGGGGCCGCCCCACCCCCAGGCGGCCATGATGGGGCAGCAGCAGCCACTCCGGCAGCGGGGGATGTCTCTGGACAGTCCGATCGGCTACGGCTCCGGCGGCATGGCCAATATGCCTTTCTGACCCGGCTTCGTACTTACACAAACTTCCCAACACGTCCGGTTTTTGTGTACTGTTATTCCCACCTGAGTGAAGTTCCTTCCTCCACATCTTCTTCAGATTAAGCAAAATTTGTGTCAAACGTTTGTGCAGCAAACATTTTTGTTTATGCTGTTTTTAAAGATATTAAAGGAGACATGGTAGATAAAATTCACATTTTGCACTTTTTCATTTTTTCTTCTGAGTTTGTACTTCTAAAATCAGCCCAAACACTAAAAAAACAAACATCCAGCTGCTTTTTGGGAATACGTTAACCCAAGCTGAGCTCCAGCGTGTTTGGAAAAGACAAATGTTTTGTTGTTGACTTGCCATCCAGAAACTACAGCAGCTTATTTGGATTTAAAGTGATGGAGGCCCTAAAACGGCTCATTCTGACATTTTAAAGATATTCATAAATGTTTCCAGAGGTCATCAAAGGTCAACCAGCCAGTCTACATTTACAAAATCAAATGAAATTGATACAAATTAACTGTGCTATGTTTGTGCAGCTAAAATATTTAGCACAGTTGATAATGATTTATTTATGTTTGTTTTTGTCCTCGATCTTTGACCTCTGCAAACATTTAATATTTTTTAAATTTTGCTGCACAGACTTTTGACACCAACCTCATTTCATATGAAGACGGTTGGGGGGCGGGGGGCAACTTCACTCTGGTGTTAATCCCGTATATGTCTGAGTGATAATCTCCAAGTTTTCTGGGTTGAAGCTGATTTTAAGAAATGTAAAAATTTCAAAGCACTGTAACACTGTTCTATAAATTTGAAGCCATTTTCTAAATAATAAAAATACTGTAAATTGTGTAAATTTCAACAAAATCTGTGTATTTGCTTGGTGACGGTCGAGAGGAGTGCCTCAAATTTCTATTTGTTTTAATATCATTGATTTATTTTTTTCTCCAATTAAAAAAAATTGTGAAAATAAATTATATATAAATATATAATATATACTTGCTGTATATAAGATGCAATGTGTGATTGTTTGAAGTTGTTCTGTCTGTGTTTTAATAGAAGTCTACAAATAGAATAATAATCTCTGGAGTTAATTTGGTTATTGTGTTTATTTCTTTAGGCAACAGTTATTTGTCATATATATATATACATACACAAAAAACTTTGTTTAGCTACAATACAGGCAAATAATACAGTTAATTGCAGCTGGATACCTTTTATCCATACAGTAAGTACAAGATTGTGAATACAGAAACAGGAAATGTTGAGTATATTGATGTGTATATATATATATATAGGTTATTGCCAATAACTGATGTCTACCAATATACATTTTGCTACCTTTTTCACACCCTGGGAAAAAGAGACCACACCACTGACTTAAATTAAATTCCCCACAATCCTTTGCTGCATCACATGATCAAATCCTTTTTTTTTTTTATCAAACCTATATGTAAAAAAATTACCAAAACTAGCTGATATATTTTGCAGCCCTAATGTTAACCCTTTAATGTGGCATTACTTAAAAAATATTGTTGTACCTTTTGAGATGTATTTGTAGCTGACTTTTTCACACAAATTGAGCTTAATTTCCAAATTAATTTCTGAGGAAATTTGGTAATTAAAATAAAAACCTTCAAGCAGTTGGTTGTACAGTCAACCAACCGATCCAAAGGAATAAAAAACAAGGTGAACTACATTAAAGTACATTTTCAGAAAACAATCTACAGTCAAATATCAACTAAAAGTATTTTAAAGAGAATATCAATAATTCATGAAATTAGACTGAAAATAGATGGAATCATTGGAAAACATGGTTAGAAAACAGTAGCACCAAGGGACAGACCAACCTGAATCTATAAAATGAATACAGAGCACATAACAAATTAACATTGTGAATCGACTAACTTAATTTTCAGTGCTATTTAAATTCTGACATGCTAAAATAATTATGAAATGGTTTACTAAGTAGTCTGTTCATGCTAATGAGATGAGTTCAAGACTAACTTTAGAAATTTTTGAGAAAAAAATGTAGAAATTTCTGACTTTGAGAAGTTACAAATTTGCTAGAAATTTTTTTTTAGATTAATCTGAGAAATGTTTTTATTTATTTATTTTTAGAAATTTCTGAGTTTCTAAATTCAAAGACATTTTGAAGCTCATGAAATTTCCATGTTTTCTTCTAGAAAACTTCTGAGATTAATCTCAAAAGTTCAGTTTGTTTTTTTTTGTTTTTGTTTTTCCACAAGCAAATTTGCAACTTTTCAGAAATTTTCATGTTTTTTTCCCAATAAATTTCTTAGATTAATCTCAAAATTTCTGGAGAGTTTGCATTTTGTTCCTAATATTAAGATTTTCGGCAAATAGGCGGGGGTCCGCTGTGTACGTAATTTTACATACAATGCCAATTCCTTACTGTTTCCCTTTCCATTTCGTGCCCTTTATGGGCCCCATATGTAAAGCCATACGTACACTAGCGTACTTCACTCCGCGGAGGTCTGCGCATGCTCGACACGGACTCAAACTGGACGTTCGGTGTCGCACTGTGAACTGCTCGGCGGGAAACTGTTCAAATCGAACTGTTTTGAATGTGACACTGAGCTGATATGGTTGAGAATCGGCGCCATCTTGTGTGAAAATGACGTCAAATTTTGAAGCGTTTCTCACGGAAGAGACAGCAACTTGGATGATACATCAACGACTTTCAGAGGAACGAAAAAGACGTGGAGGAAAATGCTTGCGCTCTGGGTAAGGATTAGACACCGCGTAGGAAATTAGTACGCTGGACTGATATTGTGAATTGTAGCATAGGGCTGAACAACATGGCCGAAAACTTATCAGGAAAAGTGGTTCATATGAATCGACTTCGGGAATTATTATTGATTTTTTTGTTTTTGTTTTAAATATTCGAAATACTTCCAAACTGGTGGCGTAACGTTTCCTGTTCAGTTTTAAGCAGCTGAGACACAGTGCTTGTTAATTAACCGGTTTTTATTAGGTAATCAGAGAGTCAATTAATTAGTTGATGGCACAGATGTCACAGTAACCAATAAATCAATTAATCGCATGATAAATTAAAACACTTTCAATAATTTCCATTTGCATGATTTATTGTTTTTATCTTTTCTCTCTTTTTCTACCAATAACTAGATGATAAGTATTCAGTCTGGTGCTTTGGTCTCAGCTAGACCTTTATTTTAAGGATAATTTTGCTTACAAATACTTTATAATTCATTTTGTTTCTGTTTTTTTTTGTTTATTTATTTTGGATATTCAACATGTCTTCCAGTTCCAGTGTAAATATTCATTAGCTTTCCAAGTTTATTGATCTTTGAGAATGTGTTCTTGCATTATTATGCCATTATTACCATTGTATTAGTTGAAAATTGAATCAAACAACAATATTGTCATTTATCACAATAACTTCTGGGACAATTTGTTATTGTGACAGGTCTACCACCAACCTTACTTAGCTAGCCGTCAGAGGTTTAGCTAACATTCAGACGTATTATCTATTGATATTGAGATATATATTGTTCTTGATTTATTGGTCCATCCCTATTGGATAGCACTTTAGACTCTGAGTTGTTAGTCAGTACATGACCATGCTGTTTGATGTCGTTACATCAGAAACAGACGGTCTTCCGTAATTTTGAGCTTTGATAAATCGCAGGCAAAAGCGGCTGCAGCCCAGACGACACAGAAGATGCAAAAGCTCGTTACGAAACTGCACCCCAACAAACGCGTACAGGAACGGGTTGAGGCAGCAGTGTGAGACACCCAGACTCTCTGTCACAGTATGAGCTTGAGCTAGGACTTGTTTTGGCCAGCAGGTGTCACTCGTTACGACTTCCAGTTCAGCGAGAGTTTTCATCAACGAGGTGATGTTGTTGGGTAGCCAGCAGACACAAAACACAATGGTGACGAGCAAGGCCAGCCGAATGGCTCCCTTCTTTGCTTGGCTTTTCTGACTCTTGAACAAAGTGATTACAAGTGCAGTGTAACAGTAACACATGACAGCCAGAGAGAAGAAAAATGTCACATGATGCAAGAACCTGTTGGCCAGAACCCAGTTTTGCGCATTGATTTCATAACGATAATAATCGCACTCGAGCAAGGAGTCGTTTTTTTCTGACTTGACGGAGAGAAAGACGGCGTTGGGCAGTGACAACAGGAAACAGATGAGCCAAAGTGAAGCGCAGGTCAGGTGCACTCTTTTTGGGCGTCGACTTTGCATGCTGGGGATTGCATGGACGATGGCCAGATACCGATCGAATCCAATGCAAGCCAGGAGGAAACTCCCACACAGGAGGTACATGTTTCTCAACACGCCATAGAGCATGCAGAAAAACTCCCCGAACAGCCATCCGGCGACGCTTTCAATCACGTTGAAAGGCAGCGTGAATATTAGTATGAGGTCGGCCAGGGCGAGGTGCAGCAGGTAGATCTCAGTGATGCGCAGCCGACGGTGACGCTTCAGGAGGATGGTGACCATCAGGCCATTTCCGACCAAACCCAGGAGGAAGATGAGGCTGTTGAGGACCGGGCTGAACACGGAGTAAAAGTCTTGGAACACCAACACTTCGTTATCGCAGGTGAAGTCTTCTTTATTATCTGTGTTATTGTCATAGCTGTAATATTCATAGTCTGTGTCCTGTGAAATAAAGAACACAGAGAATTTGACACAGCAGTGGAATAAGAGTCATTACGTAACAGATAAACAGACTTGAACCCTGCAGTCTTCTCAGTCGAATCGGTTCCGGAAGCTCTGAATGTGCCAGATTGTTTCCACTTCCTCTTTAAAGAGCTATTTTGAGTAGCAAAACATCCATAGCATCTAAAGGAGAACTACTTCCTGTAATCATCTGCAATGGATTCACTTGCTTCAAAAACACAAAATATTAACAAGAATTTTTATTTTTGTTTTAGTGCAAATGTCTTAATACACTTGAAATAAGACAAAACTGACTTACAAATAGCTTTTTAGCCAGATATAGGAGCTTGTTTTAATTCAATAATTCCTTAGTATTGATGGAAATGTCTTAGTTCCACTGTTAGAATATTCCACTTGCAACATGGGAAAAATGTCTTTTTATAAATTAAATAATCTGCCACTGGAACTAGAACTTTTTCATCAATATAAAGATATTATTGACTTAAAACAAGCTCTTATATCTCGCTGAAAAGTTACTTTTAAGCTAGTTTTGTATTTTATATATATCTTTTACTGAGATATTTTCTTTGGAAACTAGTCCAAAGGATTTTGTGTTTTTGCA